AATATGGGGAAAAGAAGTGAAAAATTCCTCCTCGTGGGGTGTTGCTTTACACCCAAAGTCAGCAATTCGAGAACGCTGGATATGGGTGGCCGAAGCTCGGAACAATACGAAATAGGTTCTTACCCCACTTTTCCTCGCATAGTGGGGCTTGGACAACCTTTAAGTTTACGTGTCAACATGTAGTACGTAGGAGTAATGTAGTATCTGGTCATTTCTGGCTCGCAATTTATAACATCCGGCCGTTGGATTTGGAATCTTCGGTACATGAACTTAACCGACTTTGATCACTGTTTCGTCAACCGCAACGATCTCAAGACATTGAAGCGACATTGAGAAAGTCTACGCGAGGTTAGTCGCATTAATTTAATGTCAATGTTCTTATCATTTCCAGCGGTTTTTTGTGCTAAACGACAGAATGCGTCAATACCCCACTATTCAGATTAATGGTCCAATGTCCACACTATCGTCTGTATTATAATGGTATCTGGGCGTCGATATGTGCATCAAGGCCAAATATCGACATGATGCCCGTGACCACACGCTCGCTGGTTAAGATCACGGTGACACAGTGGGCATTTGTTATTATAGAGCTGGACCACATCACGACGTGAGGCTCTGTACCGGGTCACCATCCGTCGGTCTCAGCCTCTTCTCCTACAGCCCCACTTCCTGCAGCAGCGTCGGCCACAGGGTCTGTAGCATCGCCTGCACGACGGTCTAATGACACGCAGCCTCCCGTCCTTCTTGGCCGCTCGGCGAGTGATTGCAGACAGGTGTGCCGTGGCCTACCGGAGGGAACGACCGGCACGGTCTGGTGAGCCGCCGAGGTCAGAGGTCTCTGGTGACCTGTCAGCGATCAGTGATCGCCAATGACCAGTGACATCGCTTCGCGCGGCTCTCCGTCACTCGCGCCCCCTTCCGAGAGAATGGCGAGGGGGCGAGGCTTGCGATGGTGTTGGACGCGGTCCGCGGGCAGATGCGAACGCACCCGCAACCGGGCAGATAGTTATTACGTCGGTTGGGGCTGAAGCACGATGGGACGTTTACACAGAGTCGGTCCCAAATTTCGAGAGCTGTACGGTGCCAGAAATCATTGATGCCCTCTGAACTCGTGGGCGTCAGGTGTTATGGAGTCTTAAGATGGACTAGATGATGATGACTGTTAAGTGGGCAAAACCCTGCACACATCTAAATACCCCACGCGAGGACGATAGTGCGATGAATCGTTGCATCCGTAAGTCTAGTACAGCGTCTTAATCTTTCCGTAAACCTAGAGCTAGTCACTCATTGCATTTCGCTCAAAGCCTGCGGCTGGTTTTATCTCACCGGTGAGAGAAGGCTGCATACGATGCCTAGTAGAAAGATCAACATTATCACGTTTTTCAGGCGCATTGTTCTTGCTTTCCCTCAACTGTCACGTAATGCGATCGTCAGATGTTGATCTATGTGGCGGCCTCCTGTCCTCCGTTGTCCGTCCTCTCGTCCTCCGTTGGCCTTCCCCTCCTGTCCTCCTTTGCCCGTCTTCTCCTGGCCTTGGTTGGCAGTCTTCTCCTGTCTTCTGTTGGCAGTCGTTTCCCGTCCCTCTGATGATGTCTTGCCGTCGCTGTGCTGTTCGGTTTCTGCACACACTCCTCCGCCCTGTTCTCCTCGTGGCCTCTCGCTGCTGTGTCCTTCGCCCTGTTGTCCTCGTGTCCCTAGTCGTCACTGTGGTCCTCCCCAGTCTGCCGGTCACCTGGAAGGCGGCGGCCGGTGGCAGCAGTGTCGCGCCCAGCGGCCGGTCCGGCCCTATATAGCCGTATGGTAATCGGCGCCCGGCTGCAGCCAACAGCAGACGCCAGACAATGTCGCTGAAGTCCCGCCAGGTGCGGGGTTTGGCTCCGCGTGTCATGACGTGCTGGCAAAAGTACTGGAAAATAAAAATACGATCGTATACAAATTTAGTGTGTGCACAAATTTAATCACAGTAGCTACCTAAATAATTCAGCACGCTATCTATAGCCTTTTGTTGTCAAGGGCCTCCTCGTCGGTCAAGGTATGAGACCAGATATTTCTGGATCGTTCTGTGTTCGAGATCAATCGACACGAACAAGGACCGGCCCATCAGTCATGGTAAGTGCAAGTCTTCAGACGGAGCAGAAGCGGGAGCGGCCTCGTCAGCATCAGTCCCGTGTCCCTAGGATAAAGTTTGTTGACACTGAAATTGTGGGACCGTATGATATGTGTTCCTGCCGCTTCCCTCTGCGTGGTACCTGTTCCCGCCCCTGTGTTTCCGCCGTTTCCCTCGGCGTGGTGCCTGTTCCCGCCCTCGTGTTGCTGCCGCTTCCCTCGGCGTGGTGCCTGTTCCCGCCCTCGTGTTGCTGCCGCTTCCCTCGGCGTGGTACCTGTTCCCGCCCCTGTGTTTCTGCCGCTTCCCTCAGCGTGGTACCTGTTTCCGCCACTGGCAGCTCCGAGCCCCGCGTGCTTCACAGGACCAGTAATAACGATTGCCTGTAGTATTTTGTCGGTCTCTGGATAAAGTAACTCAAGTATTCAATTCCTACGTGTTCTGTCTGCTCGCGCTCCCTTCAGTCAGACCGCGGTCATTCAAACCAGACACGAGCGCTGTGAGACGGTAACTGTCTTAACACGCGAGGCGAGCAGGCGGCGCCGACCCCGGTGGGCGGCGCCCCAGGAAGTACGTTGCCGGTCGGGGCAGCGGCGCACCGAGGTACAGCAGCACTGGTGGCGCGAGCAGGGGCGGACCAAGGCGCACGCCAGTAACATCACGATACACAGAGTAAATTGAAAGGCCGTAACCTGAGGTTAGCCTTACCTTTCAACTGCACAGTTGTCCATCACCCCGTGGCACGAAAGCTGTTAATGGCCTCGTTCCTGCACAGTATGTTACATTAGGACGACCCTTGGACTTTGGTATCGTTACCAAGATGAAATATTGGCATTATGCCCGCAGTTAGGTGACGCCGGTTCGTTATTGTATCGAGCGACAGGCATACCCGCTCGTTGTTTCATATCACGGTGACACCGCCGATGTTCGTTGTTATAAAACAGGGCCGCATCGCGACGTGAGGCCCCGTACCGGGTCACCATCCGTCGGTCTCAACCTCTTCTCCGACAGAACCACTTCCTGCAGCAGCGGCGACCACAGGGTCTGTAACACCACCTGCACGTCGGTCTGATGACCTTGTGGAAGACCGCCTTACCCGTAGGCAGCAGCTGTGGCCTGACCTGCCGAAGAGGACCACCAGCGTCATCTGATGTAGTCGTCTGATCTAGTCGTCTGATCTAGTCGTCTCATATGATGCTCAGCATCGCTCGAAAGTTACTCCTACCGTCTCCCGTTGTGGACCAGGAAAGCACGCTGAACAGACAGACGCTTGGCATTTTGCTCAAAGGTTGACGGTAGTTTTAGCTCACCGGTAGAAGAAAGCTGCATACGATGCCCAGTAGAAAGGCCAGAGTGATCACGTTTCTTAGGCGCATTGTTCGTGCTCTTCCTAGACTATCACACGCTGCGATTGTCAGATGCCTGGCGGCCTCCTGCCCTCCGTTGGCAGTCCTCTCCGTTCTTCCGTTGGCAGTCCTTTCCCGTCCCGTTGCTGGCAGTACTCTTCTATCCTCCGTTGGCAGTCATCTTCTGTCACTGTATCGGCAGTCCCCCTGTCCTCTGTAGGCAGTCCTCTCCTGTTCTTCGTTGACAGTGCTCTCCTGTTTTTCGTTGGCAATCTTCTTCTGTCTTCTGTTGGCAGTCGTTTCCCGTCCCTCTGATGATGTCTTGCCGTCGCTGTGCTGTTCGGTTTCTGCACACACTCCTCCGCCTTGCTGTCCTCGTGTCCTGTCGCTGCTGCGTCCTTCGCCCTGTTGTCCTCGTGTCCCTAGTCGTCACTGTGGTCCTCCCCAGTCTGCCGGTCACCTGGAAGGCGGCGGCCGGTGGCAGCAGTGTCGCGCCCAGCGGCCGGTCCGGCCCTATATAGCCGTATGGTAATCGGCGCCCGGCTGCAGCCAACGGCAGACGATCGACTCTTCGACCTCCGTCTGTGTTGACATGCTGCCTGCTGGTCGGGACGCGCGCCATAAACCGCCACACTGACCGCCTTCAAAAACTGCTGAGGCTCCTCCGTCGGCGGATTGGCTCCGTCCGTAACAAAGCCGCGTAAACAAACAAAGCCGCGTAAGTGTAAGCTACTTCATGTCACTCGGAAGGTTTTGTCCGGGGGCAAAGGCAAGTAGAAGAAAAAGCAGCGTGGCTGCTCAATTATTTATTAAACACAGACGACACAAGCCCGCACAATACAATGTTGATATCAGGACTGCTTCATTATCGGAAGCTGCTTCCTCTTTAGCTCGGTCGATGGATCAGGCCGACACCGTGGCCGCAACAGGGGTTCCCTGGCCCCGCGGCCCTGGCTGCTACCAAGCAGCTGGCTCGGCGGCCAGGCATGACCTTGTCGTGTGATATGGTTTGCTATTCCGGAATAGTCATAAAGAGACAACCCCAGATTTCTTCAATTATTGGGGGAAAGCCCGCACGTTGTTGCCAAATGGTGCGTAGGGCCCTTCGCAAGAGAGAAAGCGTGGACATTTACCATCGTAAAAGGAAAACCACGTAACAATCATGCATAATAATCTAAGATTCGTCGCGTAAGACTTTGAAAAGTAGGTCAAAAACGTTCAGACAAGAGTCGCCTAGGATGACTGTGAGTGTAAAGGGAAGTCTATGTGATTTCTATAGTGTGCGAGTGCGCGTTGCGCACGACGGTGCGTGAGACTAAAAATGCAAAACAGAAAGTGCTCAGCGGTGTATGAAGTGAAGCAGGTTTAGCATGGAGGTGGCAGTGTCTCTTCAAAGGTGCGCAGGTGCGTTAGTGTGGTGCGGCCTATCCGGGCTCCTGTCCGGAGTTCCTCAAGCACGTGTTTTGATGCGCAGTGTTCCAGTGTTGGAGTGGTGGCTGGATGTTGCGCACCGCCGCCATCATCCCCGGTGTCGTCCGTCTGTGCCGCAGACGTTGCTGCGCCTGCGCGTGAACCTGATCTTCTCGGCGCACTCGCACACCTCGTATGTGGCCATCCGACGGAAGCGGTCTGGCCACAGCCTGCGCATGGAGAGCCTGACCGGCGGCCGACTGGAGCGATTGAACCTGGAGGTGCGCGTGCCGACCCCGACGCGTGGCTGACTCTGACTCGGCGTGCCGACCCCGGCGTGCGGCTGACTCTAACTCGGCGTGCCGACCCCGCCGCGCGGCTGACTCTGACTCGGCGTGCCGACCCCCGCGTGCGGCTGACTCTGACTCGGCACCAGCGGGCCGGCTCCAGCCCTGCCCAGCCCAGCCCACCGCAACGGGTCGCGAGGCGCCATTGGTGACTGGTTTTGGGTCCTGCCGTATGTTCACGATTGTCCGGAGGAGTTCATTTAAGAACACTTAGGAAAGGCGTAGTGCTTTGACGTGTGCGAGTGGCGGGTTCTGAGCACTGGTATACGCTGGATGTGAGAGGTCAGAGGGACAGTGGTTTACGTTGGATGTGAGAGGCTAGAGGAGCACTGGTATACGTTGGATGTGAGAGGCCAGAGGATGTGACTCCTGCCCGAGAGATGCCCCTGACCGTGCGCCATACCGCCCGCCTGGCTGACGTTCGCCTGGCTGCCGCAGGACGACAACGTTGTCGAGATCGTCGTGCCCACGTGCTCGTACCGGATGGGTGTGCGGACCATGGGGTACGGTGCTGCCGTCATCGGTGAGAACCGCGGCAGTTGCTTTCGTGTTCCTCGGCAGCGAAGGAGTGTTTGAGAATTTTGGACGTGAATCTATGTCCATATACAACTACGTCTACCCCTAATATACAGTAAATTCAAGGCCGTTAGTGGAAAACTATATATATGTATATATATATATATGTATATATATATATATTATATATATATATATATATATATATATACCATCGCATGATGACGCTCGGCAAAACGTGAGAAGTGGTGCCGGAATGGATGAAACAGTTCCCCTTCGAAAAATGATGTTCTGAACACGATTAATAAATGTGAATTCTTTCACTTATGGAGATAAGTGTATTTGTGCACATGTCCATTAACCTAATTTAGGGCGGTAGTTTTCTTTGCCGACAGTTTACTTTATCTTGACACCCGTAGCGCCGATGTAGGCGTCATCTAGTGTTAGAACCACCTTTTCACCCATTCGTTCAGGGTGTCACTTTACTCCGGCAGATCAGAGAGAATGTATTCAGGGTGTTAATTGACTGGAGGATTGGGAGGGTGTGCGATCAGGGTGGCATTTGACTATGGGTGATCGATATTATAGTCTCAGGTGTGCAGTGCTCTGGTTGCCGTCGTTTATGGCGTGATGTGAGCCCGGCAGATCGGGACGGTGTGTGTTGAGGGCATTATTTGGTTCCGGCAGATCGGGAGAGTGTGTGTTCAGGACGTTACTTGGTTCCGGCAGATCGGGAGGGTGTGTGTTTAGGGCGTTACTCGGTTCCGTCAGATCGGGAGGGTGCGTGTTCAGGACGTTACCTTGGCTCCGGCAGATCGGGAGGGTGTGTGTTCAGGGCGTTGATTGGCTTCGGCAGATCGGGAGGGTGTGTGTTCAGGACGTTACTTGGCTCCGGCAGATCGGGAGGGTGGTCTCAGCTACGCCGTGCTCTGGCTGCCGTCTCGCTTCAAGCATTTACACATCTACCTGGCCGTACTGCTATGCGTGTGCGTCGTGCTCACCGCCTACCTCTGCAACCGACGGGGCGACCGACGACGCAGTATTCACCGCAGCAAGATGGCCGGCGTCTGAGGCGTCGCGTCAAGATGGCTGCCTTTGGAGGCAAGATGGCCGCCGAGCGAGGCGGGCAGGTGAATTAGCTAAGCGTTACCTGTCATTCGAGCTGGCGCTGCGATAGAGAGTCGAGGGCGGGCTGACGGCTGACGGTTCAGCGGTCAGGTGCGGACCTGATGCTTTCCGCTACTGCCGGGTGAAGTTGGCGCGGTGCAAAATGCGTTGACGCAAGCGTGGTGTGTCTTATAGGTTGGCACGGTTTGCAGCTGCTACAGCCTCAACTGCTGCGTGTGGACAGACACAGAGAGTGGTCTTACAGTTGGATCAGAACTACACTACCATTACCCATCCAAACTGTTTCCATCGGTAAGTTCAGCACACTTTGGCAACACTTGGGCGATGCTGGATGGTCTTCATCCTTCCGGGGGGAGGCTAATCGGCCATTGATGACGTGTTGACGTTGCGAGCTAATGATTGCGAAGCGTTTTTGTGCAGTATGCCAGAGATAGATCCAACCGTCCCAGCAGGCTCAGGTCCGAGCTGGTGGGCTCAGAGCGTTGTGGGTTTGTTGGCCTGAACCATCATTGGCTGTCAGCTATTGCGTTCAGCATCGGAGGATGCTGTCTGCCAGCTGGTAGACGCCACCCACGCTGTGAGAGAGATCCAGACTGACACACCGAGCGATGGGTGCCGGCTCAGTTCCAGCTGGTCGTGAACGGAGCTAAGCGTGAGCAGAATGACGTCTTCACTTGCCTGGGGTCTGCTGGAAGCGCTGCCGGCTGGGTGTGGAGGGTCGAAACCAGAGGTGGAGTTAGCTCCCTGTACCGTGACACCTTTTGGACCTTGCATGTTCTCAAGAGGTTCAACAGGGATTTTTAGCTGTTTTACCGCATCAGGACAATGACGACCTTTAATAATATGCATTCTTGACAGAAGTTTCTGTATATAGTGATGTTACTTATCTTTCGTGCTTCCACTTTCCCTTCCGATGTTCGATGAGCGGAGCGTTGCTGCTGATCCTGATCTCGGTGACTCCGCCCTCCCGGCTGATCGCGGTGCCGTCTGGGAGCTTCGGACACTCCCGACTTTAACGTCTCCGCTGATCCTGATCTCAGCGACTCCGCCGTCCCGGGTGATCGTGGTGCGGTGCGGGGGCTCCGAACACTCCCGATTTTAACGTGTCCGCTGACAGCGCTGGATCGCTAGGTCTTCCCCGTTATATCATGTTTGGTACATTTCATGAGACACATAACTTACAGCTGCTGGCGTCGTGATCTCGCCTGCCAGATGTAGCGGAGAGCTGGACCACAGGGAACAGTGAGGTTCGCGGCCGTGTAGCTGAAGGCATAGGGAGCTCAGACCCCCCCCCCCCCCGGCCCCACCCACCTGCAACATGTTCAGCCGCCGAGACGCTGATAACGGCCGTGTGTGGTTTGCGTCCATGTCAATGGCACCAGAGCTACGTTGCTTCAGCTTTTGCTACAGCCTGCGAACCTAGATTGGCGTGCGTTCACGGAAATATTCCAGCTGCGAACGCGAAGTATCAAACAAACGGACAGGCCCACCATAGCCAGTGCATCGGCGGCCGTATGTGTCGGTCGCGCTCATAAAGGAATGTCTGCTCTAGGTTACAGTTGTGAAAAGATCTCTGCTGAACAAAGCCTCGTTTTATGTTGGCATTTCAGCCCTATCACGTGGAGACAACTCCACGCTGCAAAGGTTCCTTCGAGACTCAGCATAAGTTGTCAAGCTTTTGGCCGCCTTGATTCACCTGGCGGCGTTTGCTGCACTGTTGGTTTGCTGGTTTACCCTTAGATGTTACTAGTGAGCAAGCGGGAGCGAATTCGACGCCTGCATTGCAACATGGGGGGGGGGGGGCATTGCATCTTTGGGGTTGTGTTTTACATGCTTTTCGTTGAGGAAGTTCGGGCTGCAAAGATCAATGGGCGTGCATTTTCTGCCTCAAGTGTACGTCTTTTAAAAATTATGTTGCATTTCCTTGTTGATTTACCGCGCGTCTTTAGTTTTAGTCTTTAGTTTTGCTTCGAATGATTTTCGTGCAAGTTAAAGTTGCATCCTTCCCACCAAGGAAGATGTCTTGAGTTGGTCACGTGGCCCACCAACACTGCTGTATAGGACCTCAATAAGCAACGCCGCGGCGATGTTGGACTGAAGACACGCTCTGTTGAGCAGGCCTACGAGGGCTTGTCCGCGTTTCCACCGTCTCAGTCAATGACTTTCTTCCCACATGCAGAGGCGACGGATTTATCACCGTACTGCTTCACACTCGCAGACCGAGACAGCTGACGTTGACACACATGCTAACGATGACCTTGCCGAACCGGTCCCCCCACCAACGGATGGGAGTGGCCGAGTTTGATATGGTTTACCAAGCGGTGGGTGAATGTCAGCGAGGTAACATGCGTTGGCCGAGCCGGAGCGGACGGGCTTGGGTTGTCATCAGCGTACCGGCTAGTCACCAATGCATGTGTTAGTCTTCACTGTCAAGCACGTACAGCCCGCGTGCTACAACGCAGCGTTCCCGCAGTTTAGTTGGGTTGTGCCACACAACTGGGTAATAGGGACTGGACTCAACTCTAACCAGCAATAAGGCCAAGGTCTGGTTGCTTTGCCAGTGCTAGATAATTACCCAGAATTCGGATGGGCAAAAATCTTATTGGGTAAGGGGATAATCTTCTTGCCAAAAAATTACTCCTCGAATGAAAGCACATGTTTTTTTACTAGCGTTGGGGCCACATGCCTCTCGCCTCCTTCCTTTCCCGGATACGTTCTTGTTTTGAGTCTCGGAGGCAGCTTAAAATAGCCCAGTTCAAGTGCGTTAGCCAGCAATATAGCTTATACAGGCTGCGCACCGTGTTTAAAGAACACTCGCCCGGTAGACCGCATCACTCAGGGACAGCGACGCCACGGTGCTGATCTGTGGGCGGCAGTCTTGTGTCTGTCTCGATGATGGGGCGTCAGACCTTGCCGTACGCCTCCCGCTGCTGCGAGCGCGCCGGCCGGATGACGAAGGCTGACGCGGCCGGCCGGGCATGGCGCGCGGGGCATCGCAGGCACGGCAGGTCAGCTTGTGGAGGCTACGTCTGTGGTCGAGGTTCTCCGCATATTCGGGGAAGGGGGATGTGGTGCGCTAGACAGCGGACCGGCAGCGGTCTGTCTCGCTGTGTTGTCCTGGGGGGGGGGGGGGGGGGCGTGAGACGTGCCGGCCACCGCAGCACCGCCAGCCGTGGCGGCCGGAAAATGTGGAGGATCGGTGACGTGGCCAGATGGACCGAACAAAACACGCATCAACACATACTGCTGGGATTGCGATGACTCTGAGTCAAGTTGTTCCGCTGCCTTGCGTGCCATGCCGAATTCTTAGACCATGCTAGTCACTGGGGCGCACTTCAACTGGCGCACCGCTGCTGTTGTGATGCTACTGAGATGCTCGAGTGTATAAGGGGTATATGCTTACATTCGTTGACTACAGTTGCGGGTGATAACGGCGTCATGAGTAGCGAGGTTGTGGACTGGGCAAGCAGTGAGGCTGATGATGGTGTGTTTTTGTTGGTGTTGGTTCCCGCATGACCTGAATGGCCTTTGTGAGTGTGTGACGCGCCTACCGAAATCGCTTGTTCTCTTATCCTAGCCCTTAGCCGTTGTTGCTCCGTTACTGTACTTGGGAAGCCTGGAGTATGTTACATGGCCATAACTTTTGCCAGGTCGTCGGGTTAAGTTATGCCTCCTTTACATTAACATAACTGTGGTGTCATCTGATTTCCAGCCGCTAGTCGGTGACGAGCTGAATTAAATGGACAGCCCGTCTTAAGTGTTTACTCCGGCGTAATTTACAACTGTGAATGCTAAGGTGTCAACATGCCTTTAATGGCACAGTATACACCTCGAGTTTAATGACGCCAGAGGCGGGTCTCGTGGAGCGCAATGAGCGCAGTGTCGACGTGCGTCAGAGCGCATGAGGCGTGGTGTCGACGGAGGTCAGGGTGCAGGAGCGCAGTGTTGACGGGGTTCAGAGTGCAGGAGCGCAGTTTCAACGGAGTTCAGGATGCAGGAGCGCAGTTGTTGACGGAGGTCAGGTCAGGGCAGAGGAGCGCAGTGTTGACGGAGGGTCAGGAGGCAGGAGCGCAGTGCTAACGTAACGGTATGGCTATGTGTGACTGCATCGTTAAGTTGTATGGCTTATTGGGGTGAAAGCATGGGCACGATTTATCTATGATGTGCCGTCACAACTGCACGGAAAAAATCACCTGAAAATTCACGATCACATGCCTGCTCTTCACGCTGGTTGGAACAGAAAATATCCCTTCCAAGCACTCAGGTCTGCAATTAACGTATGAACGTGTGTGAAACATATTTAGCGTGGATAAGCCGTCTAAAAGACATCCACTTTGTTGGGTGAGCAGCGACTCATCTTGGTAAATCCAATAAGAAGGATAACGCCGATTGGCGTGTACAGCGCCAGTTCAAGAACGCAGGATCACAAGTCGAGCACGAATCGCGGCAGCTAGATAGGTAAATAACCTATTCAGCGATCCTTGATACTATCAAAGATGTCGCAGCAGTTGCGTGTAAATTGGGGACCAGACTGCAGTCTTGCGGTATTTAAGTATTTCGACAGTGCAGAGATATTTATAAATACGACAGAGAAAGAGACAAGACGACTGGCTGGATGCGAGGGGTACGAAAGTTCAAGAAAGTTCTCCAGACATGTTTCGTAGCCATCCAGCAGTCCAAGTTTTGAATTTGCGCGTGCTGACAGCAAATGATGATTTAACGCACCAACGTGAGTGGTTCAGTGACTGGATAGCTCTTACGAAAAGCTTTAGAATAGTAATAACTTTGAAGGTAGATAAGAGCCACATAATTTATATCATCATAAGAGGGTTCAATGCTTGGAGTGTGTAACGTTAAACATACGTTTGGCTGTGGCAAGCACGAAAAACGCCTGCTGGGCATATTCTTGTCCAAATTTTAGCACGCGTCTACGCTAATGAAATCCAGGCTGACATAAGTTGAAGCCTGTCGGATGTTTAAGAAGAACCTTTAGGCTCACTCTCCAGGCGCGTTTCATTAGTCCCTGCTGAACCGTTGCAAAACATATTGGGGCGAAGCTGCCTGCAAAACAATGATTTCACTGGGGAGATTTTGCCGTTTGCTTTGGGAAGCTGGCGGTCTCTGGTGGGAATTACATCCCCTCCCAGGCGTCTCTCGGCCCGTCCCGAGACCCAGCAGGGAACACACAGTTGACCGCAGACAGTACATGATCCTAGGCGTTCTTGCCGAACGCTCGGCGGGGGTCACGGACAGTCGGCTTACCCCGCCCCGGCTCACTCTTCGGCCTGACACTGGCCCTCCTGGTATCCCTCTGCCTGGCGCAGACGGCAGACCAGGGCCTGCTCGGTGGCTTCGGCCTCGGCTACTCTGGCTTTGGACGCTACACGGCTGTGGACGGACTCGGACCGGACGGCCGCTTCAGAGGGTACGCTAGAGGGTACGTGCTCATTTCTACTGTCCAGTTCGGTACGATTCCGGCATGGCAGATTATTTTGATTGTTCCCAGTTTAGGTCTGCCGATTGCTTGACCTCCAGCCAGCTGCATCCGGCGCATGGACTGGAAGCGGCTCAATTTTATTCAATTTAGCTTCTTAATCATCAAGAGTCTTGGCTTCTAAACCAATAATTTGCAAAGAAATGACTGACATAAGCATTGCATTTGATTAGTCACTGAAACCGCGCTGGATGTCGTCTCACTTCGACCAAGTCACCATTGGACTCCATACCGGCAAGGCAGCACCAACGAGACACCTGAAATAACGCAGGAAAAAGTAACAGGAACGTAGCTGGATAACATGGAACATGGAATCAGCACCCAGGGTACATTGGCAAGCATTTCCACACTTCTCTCCCTAGCTTTTATGATGAGGCGTAGGTTGCATGTCTGGCTATGTGGCTGGCTATCTGGCGTCTCATTTTCTTTGAAAATAGTATCTTAATGTGAGTTAAATTTTTTGTAACTGTATAGTCCATTGGATATAATTCTACTTGCGCTTCGCACAAAATCATAGATATTTTATCATAGATCTTCAAGATCTTTTGTTCTTGTAATCTGTCATCTTATGTACCACGATCGTAGCATATGTTTCAATGAGGGTAATTCATTGCAATCATAGTGTACATTAGAACGACAGCATACATGAAAAGCACATTATGTACCACGATGATATCTTTTGAGCAATAACAATTCGTCACAGTTGTAAATCCCGTCATATTTCATGTTTTTTCCATACCCATTGATGCCTGTTGTATTGCTTCTAATCGTTCTGTGGTACATATTTCTCTCATAACTGGTCGTCTTTGTTGTGAAGAGTTGGAGACCAGCTTGTGAACTTACGCATTAAGAATGTATGGAAATTAATTTATTAATAACGCAGTAAGGCTTCTGTGTTATTGGTGGTGAACTCTTCCGTCTACGTTTACATGAACGATTCTTCAGTTCTGTTAATCTGTTGCCATGGAAAACTGCTCTGCCCCCCTGTCCCAGCTGGCGCTACCATTTATTTATTGTAACCAGCAGTCATCACCTACGAGAACGCTAACAATGTTCTTGACCGTGCGGCTCATTGGCAGATTCGGCGGCCCGCTGGGCGGGCACTCCAGCTCGGGCCGTAGCTACAACTACTGGAACGGCTATGACGTTCGCTGCGGTGGTACGGCCACCTATCCGGAGAGCTACGGCAGCTACGGCGGCAACAGCTTCGGCGGCTTCTACTAGAAGCTCGATTTCCTGCCCAAACTAAACCTCTTTTTTGCAATGCCCTAAATGTGAGTGATATACTTGTTCCGAATATCAAGTTTCAACTGCTAGTCAATCTATTGGTCAGGAAACGCTGATTTGTTGTGTCGTAATCTGACTATCGTGGATGGTGATGCGCCAAGAATTCGCAGCTGTAAAACTGTCTATGATTTGTTTATCACGAACAGTATTTCCTTCTAGAGGCTGCCTCTCATCTGTCTTTCATTTGGCTGACTGGCTATCTGGCTATCTGGCTATTGGCGTTATGCTATTGGCTTTTTGGCTATCGTTCAAGGACTCATTCGACTGCTCCATGTTCTGTCCAGAGAATGAGAAGGAATGACCTAAATAATAGACGTGCGCGCAACAACTTGAACCCCTCTGATGTCCCAAAGGGCAACTCTTAAGTTTGTAGACGCTACCCGAGGCCAAGAGAGACGTTCGCACCCTAACAACAAAAAGGCACCCTAAATCCTGCCGGTATGCGCTCGAGTGATCAAAGACCACCGTTGACGTCCGGAAGATGAAACAGCGGTTGGCGAAGATCCCTCTGTTCCCAAATGTCCCTTCACCCAAAGGAAAATCGTCGGATTCGACTCACTTGAGTTAGAGAATGCCAAAGCTGCTTCATTTCCTTCGTTGATTTTTCTTCGTTTTTTTTAACCAGAACAGTCCAGTCTGAGGCTATCAGACCCTACAAATTTGCCCGCATTTAGAAACCGATGACGATAAGGAACTAAGCATCTATTGACTAAATCAAACAAATTCCTGTGCTGTCTGTCTTTAAGTGTTTTAGTGTGGTGATTGTAAACCCAAAACAGCCAGGAGCGTAGTCAGGAACTTCAGGGGTCTAACAGAGATGTTGACTGTTCCACTGATCCCATGCCGATGCATATCGTACATCGAAATGGGATATCAGTTTGTAGTGATTTGGCCAAACCATCTTCGCCTGGGGATGCTCAGTCTATGTCCAGGATGTATAGGTGACAGAAATCGCTTAGATCAATCTTAACTTTGCGCGCTCTTAGCTCAGGAAGCAAAAACACTGGCGCCTGACGTTGCAGCCTCCACGAGCCGCGCGGCGTCAGCCCCGCAGTTAACATTATGCGGTTGTTAACGGTCGGACGAAAACGACCGCTTATCGGTTCATGATAACTTAAGCCAATTTGTGGAATAAAGGCGATGTGTTCGAGTTATTCAACGCCGCGGACTCCTCACGATCAATTTTGAGACAGTAGGCGCGGATTGGTATTTGAAGCACCAATAACACTTGGTGTAATTGTTAAATCCCCATTGCTTGTGTCGTTCTAACCACTAACCTGGCCGGAGAATGAACCTCCATGTTGCATAGG